TGATCACATGTTCTTCTCTCTTCTTAAAGAAGGTGTTGGCTAAGAAGAGATCATATGCCATTGCAAAATCCAAGATAGCTTCCCCATCCTCGTTTCTCTCCCCAAAACCATGGCCACCATGAAAACCTCCATAGTTGCCTGTCTCCCTGCCCACGTGTCCATTTAAATCTCCTCCTATAAATAACTTCTCTGTCTGAGCAATTCCTTGCACCAAGTCTCCAAGGTCTTCCCAAAATTTCTCCTTCGAACTCGTATCCAACCCTACTTGAGGTGCGTACGCACTAATCACATTTGATAAGTTCTTGTCCTATTACAATCTTGATTGTCATGATTCTATCTCCTACCCTCTTGACATCTACAACATCTTGTGTCAAGGTCTTGTCCACGATGATGCCAACACCGTTTCTCGTTCTATTTGTGCCCGAATACCATAGTTTAAACCCTGAGTTTTCTAGATCCTTTGCCTTACGACCAACCCACTTAGTTTCTTGTAGGCACATAATATTTATCCTTCTCCTCACCATAACTTCTACTACTTTCATAGATTTTCCCGTCAAGGTTCCTATATTCCACGTTCCTAAACGCATTTTGCTCTCTTGAACTCTACCCTTCTGTCCTAGCTTCTTCACCCTTCCCCGTCTAATAGGATCAAAGTACTTCTTTTGTGTGTCCCGTGTAAAGTTGATAGGAGCATATGCTCCCAAACAACTTTGAGTGGAGTCGTTCGAAAAGAAGTTTCTATAGCCCCCTTGCTCATTTAACACTGCATCCGGGTGCCGATGGAGATACACAGCGACCCTTGCTCACTTATCACTGTGCTCAGGCCACACAGCGCGCCACTTACGGGTGACGCCCTAGCTTTAGCGCGATTTCGTTCTGGATTCATTTTCATAAGGATTCGACGTGATCATGGAGTGCCGGCTGTCGACTACCTGACGCCCTCCCCCTCCTCCTTTATCCGGGCTTGGGACCGGCAATGTAAGATAAACTTACACGGCGGAGTTATATTTAATTATACTATTATATATAAAAAATGAAGAGTATAATCATACTTACTATTTTATCTTGTCTAATATGATTTATGTTATACATACCAAAATGGCTACAAATATCGCAAAATTTCACAATAAATATTGAATGGTGGATGCACAAAAGTTTGAAAACTTTCATTTCGTAGTCTTGCAAAATGTAGGAGATCCGAAATATGTTCCGAAAATTCCGAGATAAAACCAATTCTGAAAACTCCAATAAATTCCAATAATCCAAAATTCCAAAATTGGAGCTAATATTTGATTCCGAAACTTTTTTGGATTGGGAATGGAATTCATCTTTCCGATCCTATCTAACCGAAAAATGGGGAAAACTTTAAGGACCAAAATGATATCCTGACAAGTAACTCCAGCTAACACAACAAATGATACTGAATGATTCATGCAAAGACAATTTCTTAAAAGAATTCTTTTTATTAATCACGATTATGTGTGCGCAGATAAGAGTAGTGTGCGCAGATATGAAGTGAACAACATACCTCCACCACTCGGTACCCACAATGCTTTGCAGCTATATGTGCAAGTGTAGTCTTCCCAAGCCCTGGAGGGCCACAAAGTAAAAGGATCTGCAGTGACCATCAAATATGCAGGTCAGCCAATGCAAGGTAGTTCTATGTTACAAGGCACATAATTAAAACAGTAAGAATAAAAGCAAAATGCAGAAAGAGTTCATATTCTACCTTTTGTTCTGGGGGACTGGTAGACCTTGACTTATTCCACAACTCTGGAATGCTTTTTGAATTAGCACTTTCATCATTCATATCCTTAAAATGCATATTTTTTTCATTATTCCATCCTCTGTTATTCCTTGAAACCTTTGAATCAAAAAGTTTGTGGTGTTGAGTGATAGAAGAATGCCGTCTCAACGCAGACAAAACCTCATCGGATGTGCTCCTAATTTCAGATCCAAAAACACAAGGATCCCATTGCTTTAACCATAGGAGGACCTGCAATGCAAATAAAAAAAGAACAGACAGTTGACGAAAGACCTTCTAGGGAAGAAAAACTACAAAAACATGTGCGCCTTTTGGAGCATTAACTCCCCTAAAAAGTTATGAAAAAACATGAAAACAAACATAGTTACCTCACGATTTGTTTGTTCGTCACTCAGAAGCTCAATAAATGAATTTGGAGCATATTTATCCACCCAAAGTTGTTCATGCAATAGTGGTGTTTCACTCTGAACTTCAGAGCGAGCTTGCAAGGTCTTCAAACAACTCTAATTATATTTAGCATATCAATACAGATTTCACTGATCAGGTAAAACATTTATGATTCGGCAAATATTTCAAGAGAGTATCTAGTGTCTCATGGCATAACACAGAAAAGTTAAACAATCCTCACTTAGAAAGTTTTCTAACTGTGAAACAAATAAGTCCCTAAATTCATTAAAAATTGCTAATTTCATCCCTACTCAGGTGATAATTCAAGGACTAAATTGGCAGTTCACCCTATATGATAATAAACAATAGGATTTATGTACTGTTTACGACATTGAAGCCAACTTAACATGGATTTCTTATAAAATGATGTGGATTAAAGTTGGATGACTCCAATGACTCTTATGGGCCCATTTGATAACCATTTTGTTAAAGATGATAGGGAAATGCATAGGAGAAATCAGAGATAGGGCGGAGGAAGGATATTGGGAAGAATGCAGAAGAAATGGGTATAAGGAGTGATACACAAAATGGAAACTAAAAACCTAAACTGAAGACAATTATAAGTTGTTTGCACTTTTAAGTTTCCATTTCATACATTCTCCCTCCTCACCTCTATCTCTAGCACCAAAATTGAAAACTATAAAACAAAATGGTTATCAAACGGACCCTAAGTTCACAATGAACTATATCATCTTCTAAATGCATACCATACCTTCCTAAATGCCTCTTTCTCCACTCTTTGCAATAGATCATTAATAGGTTCTGATATAAGACCTGCAAAAATTATACTTCCCAGTCAAGCTAATGTGTATAGAAAGCAATGTATGTGAACTGCAACTTATATACACCATTAACTGCTATGCGACGGAACGATTCTCTACTTTTCCAAGGTTTTCTCAGAAACCAAACATGCAGCTAGAGAAAAAAGCATCCAATTATTCAAGAAAATAATTTGGTTCTACCTCCCGATGTTCCTTTTATATGCAATTTCTTGGGACGCTCCTTCTCCACCAAGCATATCTTCGCGTAAACTCTATCCCCGGCACTCGGCGCCGTCACCGGAATGAAACTACCATCTATCTCCGACGCATACCTTGACACAACTTTCTCCTCCACAACATCAGTAACTCGTTGATCGACCACGGGATCTATCTCGTGTGGCGGCGAGTAAAGCCAGTCCTCATCATTCTCGAACCGGTCCACATCATCGACCCTGCTCCGTTTCTCATCCGACAATCCGGATTTTTCCGCAATCGACTCATCAGGACTGTCGGATGATCGCAAACGCTTATGGGCATTGTTTCGGACTTCGTATGATGGCGGGTGGTCTGTGGAGAGCGGCGATTTAGAACGGGTAGGTTGTTCTTTGCCGTATTCTTCTGGGTAAGGTTCCGCCGGTTCAAAGTCTAGGCAGTCATCGTGAAGGTGATAGTTAGCTTCAAGCAATTCAAGCTCTTCGGGAAACGGGATTCCCATGTCCATGCCCGATAACGACAGACGCTTGTGGCCGTTGATCTGCGTTCCGGAAGATTACGGGTGGTCTGTGGACGGTGGCGATCTAGAATGGATAGTCTGTTCTTTGTCGAATACTTCTGCTCATGGTTCTGGATCTTGGCAGTCTTCGGGGAAGCGACAGTTTGCTTCAAGCAATTCGAGACCCTGCGTATGGTTTCATGGCCATGGTTGGTCACCGCGCGTTTGGATGAGAAGTTTCACAAAGTACATCCGTCCGGTATTGTTACAAACAAAAAATTTGAAGAAAAAGTTCGCAAATGTGTTTAGTATCATCAATAGCTAAAATGTCAAAAAACAATAATAAATTTGTGCGGATAAGTAATATTTTTTGTAACATAATTACGACGGCGGTGGTAGTTGTAGTTGTAGAAATGGTAACTGCAACGGGAGTGTCGTAGCAACGATAAATGTTGGTTGGGATGGTGGTATTAGACAAGTAGTGGTGTTAATAGTGGTGAGGTGACCTGATAGGACGTAGGTGGTAAAAATAGTGGTCTAGGGGGCAATGGTGGTGGTAGTGTGGTGGTGGCGGCAGCAACGACAACGGCGATGGTGGCAAATTTTGGTTGTGTTTACAATGATTGTGAGGGATGGTTAAGAAGTGGCGAGAATGGTGGTGATGGCGATGGCAAATATGGTGGTGGTAATGGTGGTATGTGGTGATGGCGATGGAAAATATGGTGCTGGTGGACGTGATGGTGAGACAATGAGATAGTGGAGGTGGTGGTGTGGTGGCCTTGGTGGACGTGCAAATGGTGGTGTTTTTGGTGAGACAATGGCAACGGCAGCAACAATGGTGGAGTGGTGACAATGGTGAGACGATTGATTTGGTAGTGGTCATGGTGGCGGGCTAATGGCAGTCGAGGATAGCATGGTGGAGGCAATGGTGGTGGGACGTGGTGGTTTCAAAGATGGTGGTTGTTACAACCACCCCTAATTATATGTGATAAATGTTATTTTCACCCCAAACTGTCATGTGGTAGCAATCTAACTAGGGGTGGGTTCAAAAAACCGAAAATAAAAAAAAAAAACCGAAAACCAAACTGGACCGAGGTCGAAAAAAATCGAACCGAAACTCTCAAACCGAATCGAACTGAATCTGGCCAGTTCAGTTTCGATTTTTGAGGTTTGAAAATCGAACCGAACCGATATATATATTTAATTAATTTTGTCAATGTTTATAAATAGTTTAGTTATACAATTATAACAAAACAGAACCTATTGTGAAGTTGGTTTCGGTGAAACTTTCCAAGCTAGTGGAGCACATGGGTTCGAATCCACCTCATGCCTCCCGGATTTTGGAAATTTTTTTTCAATGTTTATGACCAAATCAACAAAACCCTAGCTCAACACACATTTCCCTAGCGTAGCCACACTTATTCTATTTTCATTCCCCTCATCTCTCTCTCGTTCCTTGCCTCCAGCTTCCTCCATGTCCATTTCTCCATTCTTCTCCATAACCCGCATCCTTCTTTTCTATTCCAAGCTTCATATTTGTGAGACCCTCCATGTCCATGCCTCCAATTTCTCCCTCTTCTCTCTCTCGTCCCCTCTTCTCTCTCAATCCTCCCTCTGGCTCCAACACCCATCCTTATGGCTACGAGCATGCTGACCCTGCGGCATCCTCTCTTCTCTCTCAATCAAAAGGTATTCAATTTTAGGGATTTAGGAAGAGTAACTTAGGGTTTTCTAGATTTTGGGATTTTGGGTTATTAATTTGTTGTTAGTGTATAAAGATAAAAATTGATTTGTTTTTATTGGGATTTTGGGTTATTGATTTGTTGTTAGTGTATGAAGATAAAAACTTTGGGTTATTGCTTTGTGAGGGTCGTTGGGAAATTCTTTGGGATTTTCAGTTATGGAGATAAAAATGGGTGGAGATGCATAGAGGTGTGTGCTGCAGATTATGTATTGGTTTTAGATTCAATAGACGAACAGAGAGCAAAGAAAGTATGGGTTGCCGATCATGCGTGGGGATGCAGATTATGTATCTGTGTTTGTTTCTTTCCATCTGATTCAATCCAAGTTATTTTATTTTATTTTTATTGTGTTGGATAAAAGATTCATGTTCTGACAAAAAAAAAATTAGCTTTTCCCTTTTCGTATTTTGCTACATCAATAACAGCCCACAAATCCTGCAAACCCTAAATGAATATAATTGTTGTTGTGATTTGTAGATGAAGATAATGGTTTGATCAGTACCAATATCCAGATTTACCGGAAAAAAAAAAAATCATGGTAAAAACAGAATTGGGCCGAAACCGAATCGAAAAAAAACCGAAAAAAAATTGAACCAAACCAAACCGAATCGAAATTTCGGTTTGGTTTCAGTTTCTGCAAAAAACCAAACCGTTTCAAACCGAACCCAACCCTAAATCTAACTTCCATCTTTTCTTTTTATGTCCCCCCCCCCAAACCCCGAGACCTCTATCTTCTTCATCTCTCTCTATGTACTCTTTCTCAGCTCTCCCGTACCTCTCTCTCAACCTCTCGCCTCATTCTCTTTTCCTGGTCACGCTTAAACCTTGTCACCATCAAGGGAGGCTCGCAACGAGCCTAGCACATCTTCCATGTGAGTTCGACGGCACATGAGTAAACAGCTTCGACGAACCCTCCCCTTTTTCAATTAGGTAAGTCGCAGATCTCTCCCTATCTCTATTAGTGTGATACTTGGTTGTAATTTCTGAGTTAAATCCTTCCTTCTTTACGTAGGTTTTGCCTCGGAATCGAGTTGGGTTGAGCACACCTATTTTTCGACGAACCCGTGAACATCGAGGGAATCTCCAGTCACCTCCGGCCGTGTCACGGTTATTTGAGGGTAGCAATCTCTTCCCCTCACTTTGCTCGTCATTTTCGTACTTAGATCAGGGTCTAGAACCTTTGTTTTCAGGTGACCAGAGCTGTAGCAGCTCCGGCCTTCTCATTCGGCAAACCCAGGCCATTCGGCATTCTTTCACCCTCGGGCCTTAGCCGTTTTGGGCCAGCCCAGTACCCCAGCCCGCATCCTTTTTATTTTTATTTATTTGTTTTTAAAACCCAAAAGGCCACGAGCCTTATACTGAAGGGCCTTGGGCCGGTTTCTGTTAAGGGCTTAAAGCCTTGCCCTTTCGTGAGGCCTTAAGGCCGGCTTATGTGTGGTGTGTGTGTTGTGCAGCCCGTGTGTGTGTGTATGTTTAGCGTGTGTGTGTGCGCGTGCGTGTATATGCATGCCGTGCATGTGTATGTGTGTTTGTGGTGTGTGTGTTTGGGCTTAAGCCCAAACCACCATTTTTCACCCTAAAACCCTTTTAACTCAAAAACCTTAGAATTCTAAAACCCATTAGACCCTAACACATCCAACCCCAAATCCCCTATTTTATTTAGTTCAAGCCTAATCTTTTAGAAAATCCTTTTATTTATTTATTACATTTTTGTGCTTAGGTAAAGTTGCTAGTGGAAAAATTCTTAATCCTTATCCGCATGACTCTTATGCTAAGGAATATTTGTGAGTGGACCCCTTCTAAAATTACATGATTTTATAGTTTAATTGCATAAATGATTAGCATGCCTACGAGTTTATGATTTGATTTATGTGAAGCTTGTTTATTAAATACACTGATTTTCGTCTCGTGTTTTTGGTGAGGAATCAATTGTTAATCTATATTGAGCTATATTTTAATATATCGTATTTTCTATAAAAACCATGATCTGGTAGACTATCTGATGGACGACGATAGGATGCTAGAACATGTTTTAGAAATCCCTCTTTATAATATAGACGATAGATGACTTTATACTATGAAGTGGTTATTTATGAGAGGCGTAACTATTTGTGCGTACCTATAGGACACTATGCCGCCTGGGGCGAGGATCTGTTGTTAGCAGATAGGCCGAGAGAAATAATCCCTAGCTATGGGCTGAGGGACATGGAGTAGGCATTGGCCCGGGAGTTGGTAATCTCTGGCTACGGGCACAGAGACCACGGAGCAGGCATTGGGCCGGGAGTTATATTTATTCAGTGATCTTTCTAGCAGCACACCGCGCTTATGAGACGATCTACGATACGTTTATTGTTTTGATTTCCACGATGTTATTCTGCGATATGACTTTGGAGATATTTTTGGCATGCTAGGATTTTGATTAAATCCATTACTTATTATGCTAGTAGTTTTCATTATAGAAACTGTGAGGGTTAGTACATTGATAACTGTTTTATTATTATTGTATCTATGAACTTGGTCTACTCACCTTTATTTTGCGCCCCCATTCAGGTCTTAAAAATGAGGACTACGAGACGACATACGAGGCATCCCCTACCAGTAGCAATCTATCACCCACTTGTATGATATCTTGTAATGATCTTTCCTTTTTGTAAATCTTGAATTAGATTGTGTTATGTGCACTCTAGACGCTTCCTTAAACTTGTTTATTACTCTGGATTTCAAATGTTTATTCATAAATATTTTCTCATAATCATTGCTCTTGTAATCAATTAATGGCTTTTGTTACTTTCGGATGTCGACCAACACGTGTCTATCCTGATATTCGAAAAATATCAGGATCGGGACGTGTCAATGGTGACAATGGTGAGACAGTCAAGGCGGTAGCGATCATATTGGCGTGGGCGATAACGGTGGAATGTTGAGGTAGCAAAAGTGGTGGCACACATAATTTTATTTTTCTTAAAATTCTAACCTTGTTTTACAATATATATTTATTTTCTATTATTTTAAAAACTATTTTTTAAAAACAAAAGAAACATCAATTTATAAGGAGCGTAAAAATATTTGTCGCTCCATAACGACCCTCAAATACATTTTTATTTATTTAAAATTAGTTAATGAATACTTCAACATTTTAAAGCTTAAAATAATTATTTAGAACATAGATATTCTAGTAATCACTTCAATTAATTTAGTAAAAAACTTGTATGATACAATCAATATCATACTTATTCTGATTCAAGAAAGTTTAATAAACAATTTCAACAAAAATCCCCATACCAGCTCATCGAGACTCCTTTTTTCTGATCAGTTCGATCATACAGTTTTGAGATAGAATAAGTGAGGAGAAGAGAGGGCAGGTGAGTGCGATAATACATTTTGGGGGAAATGACATTATAGATTGGTGCTTCAAGCCATGCAAAGCGAAGATCAGTTTTTTGATAATCAAACTGGATGAAACTAACTAATCCAAGAGAAGATCATTTTCGAGTGTACAGCTAACCCAAGCTGCTATCGACCAGGAAAAAGCAATTATACATACAGCTAATCCAATCTCTTAAATATCCAAGCCGCAACTTTAACCCAAAATCTGAAAAGAGATGTCGTACATGTCATAATCATCAATCTGTGAGCCTGTGAGCCATATAACACGCTATGAGGCATTCGGCTTAACGCATGATCACCTTATTTTCTTACAAAGCTCGTACCCACGACCTGCTCCTGAATCGAGTAACCTTCCCTGCAAAAAATTTGGCATACACATCCTGACTTGCATTCTTCCTGTCAAAATTGGGCAAGAGACTATACAGAAAATTAGATTGAAGAATATGTGTATTGGGAACATAGCTCAAATAACAGGCCCATATTTGGCAAGCCTGGACCCAAAAAAAAAAAAAAAAAAAAAAAAACAGCAATCGCTTTACAACTGCAAAATGCGGTACCAACTCCGATTCACAAGGCCCCAATAGCTCTTAAAGCCGCCAGCTAAATCAGATGCAAATGGCATAAGTAAAATTCGGCAGTAATCAAGTCAAATTTGGAACATTGCGGTGGCTATCAGCAAACTCACGAACTAAACGCTTTAGAACCCTCCCCCCTTTTCCTTGCATGTGCCCGTAACTATTGTGTCCTCCATCACAGCTCCTGCTCTCTATATAATCTGAAGCTGCACCAGCAAGGGCCTTAGACCAAACTGGCACTAAGGTTTCAACTTCCCCTTGCTTTAGGTATTCAGCAGGAAGAGCCTGCACCTGCTGTAACTGAAATATTTAAACAGCGGAATCTGAAGAAATATGCAAGTTCTAACATCCGGTGCCCTATGTTTCTCATTGGTAAAGATACATTCATAAGTTGATACAGAAAGATACAGAAACATTTGACAGACACATAACATAATTTTGAGCGTATTCAACAATGTAGAGCATAGTGTGATTTAGAGCTTAGATTTTAGGTTTTATTATGGGGTTGGTTAATCACTTAGATTTTAAAATCTATGCTATCAAGGGAGATCCATATCCAAAATAATCAATTCTATAAAAAAATATTGGGATCAAAGATGAATAAAATTAAGCATGGTGTGATTTTCTCATGTGTCCGCCCTTTGAGAGAAATGACATCCTGCAGAGACAATCTATGGTATGTACACACATATGGTCAGGTTTAAGGAACACTAGCTTTTAGAGTAGTTCTATACCGTTCATTTAGCTCTTGGATCAAGTTGCATCTAAACTAACATACACATACACACCTCCGTGTGTGTGTTTGATATGGTCAGGTTTAAGGAACACTAGCTTTTAGAGTAGTTCTATACCGTTCATTTAGCTCTTGGATCAAGTTGCATCTAAACTAACATACACATACACACCTCCGTGTGTGTGTTTGAGAGAGAGAGAGAGAGGAGGGAGAGAGAGAGAGACCGCTGTGCGTAACCATCCACGTAAAGATTCCCAACAAAGAATAGCCTTCAAGGTTGTTCTCTCGCTTAAACTGCATATTGCTGCCAACTGTTGCAAGATTGTTGCACATTTGTGAACCTGTGAGGAATCAGTAGCAAATAATTCCTTAGCTGCAAAGCTAATCAATATGTTTTAGGACAAAGTGCAGCTCATCCTAGGTGGTTTCTCAGTCAGTTTTACTGTTTGAACAGAGTAAAGATCATATCAATAATATATGCCTCCACTTTATTTTTATTTACACGAGTCTTTACTTGCAAAGGAAAAACCTGAAGGAAAAACCTGAAATCTGAGGATATTGTAAATTTACCCGTGACATTGCAGAAACACCAAGTAAAGCATAAATTAGGTTTGATACAAGTCCCTCGCCACTATGGGATATGACTTGAATGGCCATTGCACTGAATGATCCTTCAGAGATACAAGTCATAGAAGAATCTAACAAAGAGGCCAGGCCCACCTCCAAGAAACCTAGCAGGTCCATACAAGATAGATAATAAGCCTCAATCAGGTAGCACTTATACACAGGATAAATCAAGCTCAAGGAATAAAAGATCAAGCAACAGCACTTCCTGTGAAGGACCATAAAGAGAAACGACTTCAGTGAGAATACTGTCAGTTACCCACAACTATTGTTCTAGTTGTAGAGAGGAAGGTTCTTTTGGCTTATAATATGTGGAAATGGAACTGACTTCAATGATATGAGAAGTAAAAACTTACTTCAGATGCAACCAAAAACACAACGATGCCGGAGTAAAGTGACGAAAGAGTAAGCATTTGAAACATATAAAATTAAAAGAAAATTATATAAAAATTATTGAAAAATGCATGTAGAAGGATAAGGTTTCCAATGCTAATAATGAAGTTGCCCTAGCAGTATGAATGTAGTAGAAAGACAAATGAAGCAACAGCTCGTAAATTTTGCTTGTTGGCCTTGGATCTGCTGTTAATGGAGTTAGAGTTGGAATGTGTCGTACTCATAGGTAGCATGAGACTCAACACCATATTAGGTAGAGAAGAAAAACCAAAAGAGGAAAAAACAACATTCATTTGGTCGGAGTGTTGAAAGATGAAAAAAGAAGAGACCACCTCTAGGGCCCTCAGAAACCCGATCCCCCAAATTGGAGAGGTTGGCAAATGGAATCTTATGTCATTCATTTAAGGGTATAGTAAGAACATGATTTAATGCTCTCCTTCATCTTTGCAATCAAGAAATAAGGAATCCCTCCATCCCTGCCCTTATCCTCCCTACTTCTACTAGGCCTCTTCTATCTTCCTTGTTTCTTTCATAGTTCTTACCAAGCATAGTGATAAGAAAGACTGGGTTAGCTTAGTACAAAACCAAAAATGAGAAAAAGGTCATATATAACCAGTTTTTCACAAAATATGAACCTATTAGTGATTATTACTTGCAAATAAAACTTCTGTATCAACTCTTAACCGCATATTGGTCCCTAATAAAAAATCAATAGAAAAAACTACAGCAAAATCAAGAAATTATCTCTCTTTCCAGTAAGTAGAAAGAAAAGGCAATATCAGCTTACAAGATAAGTATGACATGGACGCAAGTGCTGCACCACGATGCATGGCTGTGCAGCATATAGCTGCCTTTTGAAAGGAAATTTCAAGAAGGGTACCAGATGCAGCCACTACTTCCTGAGATGTCACCAAACTAGAATCATCATTTAAGTATATAAGATAATTAAGCCCTGATTTAATCACTTCAATTATAAAAACGGTGGAAGAAATTCTATAGTGATAAGTATACAAAACCTTACGAGTTCCGCGCACATATGTGGATGCAAAATTTGTGTACGCCTCCACTAGATCAGGCTCTTGGTCACATATGTATGAAGAATTAAGAGCCATTACCGATGCTGCGTATGTAAATCTCTCCAAAGTGGTGACAAACAAGGGCCCATACTCCTCTTTATGGCCAAATTCTTCAATGACAACAGATGCTGAAATGGTATCGTTCCAATATGAAGAAAGAGGAAATAAGTAACTACAAGAAACCCAAAAGAACATACTGAAAAAGTTAAAATAAATCCTAAAAGTTGAACCTCCTGTTCCCACTAACTCCCAACCATAGATATCACAATAAAAATCCAACAGTTGGAACTATGTGGGCCTTTTTACTGTCTTGATGAAACCAAATTAAGGCTAGGACAAACAAAATAATGTCTGACAGATAAAAGCTTTAACCAAAGTTTGTACCCCCTACGTTGTAAAATGTTTCCTTAAATAGTAATTATATTCACTTTCCTAGTGTTGTATAATGAAAACGCCACATGTTGTTAACCTTTGGGAGTTAGCTGTAACATCTTAGAACTTTCCAGCAAGTAAATGGGACATTTAAAGCCAGCATCATACATAAAGGTTTACAACATAATTGCAGTAGATCGTCTCGCTATCCTATTCTAGCAGAAAAATCATTTAATCATCCTGTCTCACTCCCTCCTCAATCACTATCTCAAAAATGTAAGCCACCTCATGTTAAATCGCCCTATGATCTGATTCTTGCAGAAAATGGTTCATCTAAAAACTAAGTAGGATAACAGTAAAACACAAGAAGTTTCCCACATAATGATATCAAGGATCCTACCAGTTCTTATGTAGCATTCATGACTTTGGAATGTGACATAATTTGTTGATAAGCAATCTAGTACTTTGGGCAGTAATCTTAAGAAATGTTGACCTGCGCAATAAAAAAGTTCGGTTATTGTGTGCACAAACAAATATATACACTTGCACAGATGTTCCAATGTGAGATATACCTGATGATTGAATTGCTTGTGTAAGAGCACGGCAAGCTGCTGCAGATAAATTACCATTCTCCATGTGCTCAGACCTGAAAAGTTTTTCAAGAATAGGCCAAAAAACTTGCAACAGTGCCAGCATACAATCATCTGCAGAAGGCCCACTCTGGACAGATGTTGCTAGATGACTGAATACAGTTCCCACCCTGAAATTAAAATTAATTTCAAAAATTTATGTATAACAGCATAATACATAGTTCTGGGAAAATACAGATTCCTAGAGTACCATAAAGTCCAAGAAATGAAAAACCCAGCTTTTGACATGAAACCTATAAAATCTATTCTTATTCCACAACTTTATGATTGTGGAAATGACTATTGAGCTCAAGCACACACCAATTAAATTCAATGACATTGACTAGGTACAGTTGCCAAACAGAGATCACACAGAGCTAGAAGTGAAAGTAATGTGTTACATAGATTTGGAAAAGATGTCCATGTAACCTCTAAAGAAAAATATATCAAGCAACCAACATGAAAAAAAATGACCAAGAGAGCATTTGGCCAATATTAGCACCAAAATTGAACAAAACATTCTCCAACCAAAGGGCATTTTGCAAATGGGCGTGGTCTGGAGGCTCAAATCAGCCCCCATAAGGGCTAAAAAGTGCCAGCTCGGGCACATAGGCATTTCTTTCTCGGGAAGCTCACCACTTGATGGCATGGTAAAGAGGTACTTGGGCATACTAAAAAGTAACAAAAATATAGGGTCAAATCTTTAGCCCTTCTTGGTTGGAAACGGGAAAAATTAGCCGGCTACTATTCCTTGAAAAATTACATTTTTGAGGGCTAAAATTGTGCCTATGGCTTTTATTACTCCTTCATGTTTGGAGATGGCTTTAGGTGATTTTCAAAATGGGTTATGAGGTTCTACTTTTCTCAGATTCCACCATCAAGTTTTGAACTTGTATTTACACCTTCTGTTTCTTTAAACATCTAATCCTCCATTAAATTGATGAGTTTTTTTTTTTTTTTTTTTTTTTTTTTTTTTTTGTCAATGTGGTTCAAACGTTACTTACATGTATGGTAGCCCATACAAGGTCTCAAGCTCACCATGTCATCAATTTAATGGACAACACAATCAATCCGACCAAAGACATAAATTAATACAATTTATGGTGCCAAATGGGAAAATTGAACTTCATGGCCCATTTTGAAAATCACCCCTAACATAAAGAGTGTGAGTAAGCCCCGCCAAAAAAAACATAAATAAAAAAGAATCAATCCCCAATACCTATAAGCATATGCAAAACATTTGCCAAATTTCAAGTATCATGTGAATTCTACAATTCTACAAGCCCGTGACCCAATATCTATTTAAATTTTTAATGACTAGGAATACCCACAATATTCCCTTCATAACAGAAGCAACATTTCACAGGCTCTAAACAAGTAATCTTTGAGCAAACCTGTAAAGCCCTCTTGCACCAGAGTTCAAAATTTGTGTATACGTAGCAGGATTCAGTCTAAGACGGTGGCTATTATCTGCATCTACCTAAAAGAACATTGAGACACTATTGCATATCAGAATCCACAGATGGTTATTGATCAGTAGTAGTACCAAAAACATCCTGCAATGAACCATGGTACAAGGCCTCTGGCAACCATATGATTTCAATGTAACAAATTAACATAAGAAACAAAAGACAAACTTACAAGTTTCCCAATGGCTTCAAAGCTAGATGAAAGCAATCTAGCCAACAAGCTGCTCTTTATTTCTTTATTAGTAATAGAACCAAGGATCAGACTAACAGCACTGATAACTTCTTCCTCATCTTCCAAAGGTAAATATCTCTTCTCCAAACCCTACAAAGATGAGAACACCATTTATAAGGCAAAGACTGAGAGAATGCATGTAAATAATAAAAACAACTATACATTAGTTAGCAAAATTTGCAAGCAAAATTTTTATTTAAAAAAAAAAAAAAAAACCATTAAAAATAAGAAACAAGAAATTCTCAGCGGTGTCATTGGGTGAAAGAATCCTTCATTAGATATGCTCTCAACAGTAACAGACATTGACATGCTAAAATGCAAAAGCCACGAATTCACGTTAATCAAGAAGCAAGCACACATATCAAATGTCAAGCACACATCTATGTTAGAATGTATTATAGTCAGATAATACTTCACCTCTCCTATCCACATCAGAATCTCCAAATTCAAAGGTTCATACATCACTGCAGAAGCATCTTCACAAACTTTGCGCAAAGCAGAAGCACATGAACTCGAGGACAGGGGTTCTGATATTCCAGCTGCTAGGAATAATCTATAGCACCAATCAGCAGAGAAAAGAAAATTGTGAGTGCTAATATATTTTAACAAATTAGGCACATGTTAAATTCTTTTACACAATGGTTTACCAAAAGACAGTAAAGAAGATGAAAAGCACTGACTGTAAATGCATCAATTGGAAGAAGAAAGTGCTTACAGTAAGGGTCTAGTATTTGTTTGAAAAGCAGATATCCACTTGGAATAGGAACCAACAACATCTGCAAGAGATCTATACACCTAAATAAAGAAAAAAAATCCATCAGGTATACAAATCAATATACGCTAGCAATCTTCTGTGAACTAAACTGCTGAAACCAATTTTTCCCCGCAAATGAGGGGAAGGGGGAATCTTTGACATACAATGCACATGATGCCCTTCAGCTCATCTAAAGGCCTAGTGGCCAACGCTGTGACCAACTGCATGATGACCGAAAAATCAAAGTTTTGGACCTCCTGTAGGACTACCTCGGCAACCTGGAATATGGAACTTTGATATTTAAAAATACATTTACAAAGCAGAATAACCTCAAATACAATAACTTTCTGAATGGCTGCTGACAGTCCTAAGAGCAGTTGGGAAAGAGCACAATCAGGAGAACCAATTATATACAAGCACACACAAGATCTTTCTTTTAAATATATGCCTGCAATTTTAACAACTTGTGGATTCCTTTCTTTCAGTTACAACAGATTGAATCCTTAGCCCCATATCACACCAAAATAAATTCGAGTTAGACAAAAATGAGAAAATCAACAAACAACAGCCGAGGATTAATGGGATTCAGCCTAAACTGGGTTAAATCCACGTGTGATGACAACAATCATCTGTCAAAAGAAGAAGAGAATTACAAAAGAGGAGCCTCTTGAAATTATTCTTTGTACTCTCCCAGACTCTCAATCACATCGAAGGGTTCTCAATAGAGAATCCTCAATACATCCAAATCTCACAATCTCATTAGGCTTGCTCCAACCCGTAGCATCTTTTTTGCACATTAGTGTCAGATGCGTAAGTAATATTCTGAGCGCATGGATCACCAAAAATTTATATTGTCCATTAGCAATGACTCTGTGGTTAAGGTTACTAAGGGGAGGCTATTTTGAGCTGGATGATTCTAGCTACATATGTATCACCAAAAATTTATATTGTCCATTAGCATTGACTCTGTGGTTAAGGTTACTTAGGGGAGGCTAATTTGAGCTGGGTGATTCTAGCTACATATGTAGCACTACTCTGCACGAAGAAACTACTTTGGAGGAAGGAATAGGGGTTTGGTGTCGCAAAGATGTGCAGTCATGGCTACAATTAGGGCTGTTTGGATAGATAATAATAGACAGATATTTAAAGATATGAGAAGTGATGAAGTGAATTGTTTGTGGAAATGGATTCATTTTTCGGCATCAGTGTCTCCAGAATTTTAGAAGACCTCATTTTCTGTTTTCTCACATTGGAATGCTGTTGTTGCTTCATACCTATTTTCATTGTCTTGCATCTTGTTTTCTTTAAATAACTATTCAAAGTTCCTCTCAGTTGATCTAACAATTCAAAAACAAGCATCATCCTCTTTTGAGCAAAATCATCTTCCTCAGTTACTGACTCCAAATACCCACAGCTTTCCACCTCTTTCCATGGAGCATCTCCACTCTATCCACCATCCTTGGGTCAGCAAGAGTCACAGAATTGGGAAACAGAGCTTCAAATTTATTAACCTTCTCCTTGAATTGATCAGTCATCCAAAAGAGAGGAGCTCCCACAACCTGTTTGACATCTCATTCAAGAGAGAGTGAGTCATCCATCCAATTCCTATGGATAGGGATACAGGGCTTGACTTGAAAACAAACAACTGGCGCCGATCCATCAATTTCAGAGAGTGCTATCTCTTCTTCAATTTAGTCTCTCGGATTGGCTAAACTCCATTTTCTTTTTTGTCTGAGTTTAATTCTTCCTCTTGTACGTCGATCACAACTCAAAACACCTCCCAGATCCAAATCTCAACAGAAGCTCTTGAAATCAGCTCCCCCATAATCCTTTTTGCTTTCTTGGACCATGTAAAGTGAATAGAAATCTTTCCATTCTTCGCTTAATGACACTCTCCCTCATATTGAACCATGCAAATTCTGCATTGTGAAGGTCTCGATAATGTATTTCCTCAATTTTCAACCTCTCCAACCACCAAACTCCCAGCTCCAGCAGTTCATGTTCATCATTACTATTAACTCTGAAAGCTATCCTCCCTAATCCGCTCACTTACACGTGTCTCTTCACTCCTCTCATCCTCTTCAGCTAGCTACCTCTCCTGACTCATCGCTGCCTACTTTCCAACCTCCCCCCTGCAACTTCAGGTCTCAATCCTTAAAACTTGTAAGGGGGATATACAATTTGGGGTTCTTATGTGTTTCTAATATTTCCAATTCCCAACTCAACTAATCCAGTGGCTGGGAAAGGAGGTCCCAAAGTTATAAAACTTGTGAGTTCTTGTTGAAGTGAAAGATTCTGCACGCGTAGACGCACATATACATACATACCAGAAGAAAATTAACATAGTCCTCCTCTTAGATATTCAAAAACATTAAAGGCAACAACATAAGGTAATTAGATAACAAATAATTGAGTGTAGGAGCATATGTTGTACTTGCCACATTAAGAGCAAATAACTTGGTTTCCACCTCCTTCCAGGGTATTGGTGTATTTGCAGATGCCCACCCACCAAAGAAAATCTACAATGGGATAAATAAAATAAAAAATGAGAAATACTAACTCAACAGTAAAGAACTATCCAAATAAATAAAGAAAAAACATGCAAATATTTCTTATGAGATTGAACATGATGGCAAGCTCTAGCAACATGTTGAACGCGTAATCTTACCGCAGACAATACCAACAATTAACTAGAATAAAGGTTGCATCTAACACCTATTGGAATAAACATTGACTGGTGAAACAGTGCTCTGAAATATTATTTTCGACCCAATGTGCAAGTTACTGAAGAACTATTACATGCAATGATTTACGCAGCAACACAAGTCGAGTCCATAATCAAATAAGCTTATTCAAAATACAAATCAACCACCTTCTGAATAAATGTAGCAGATCTTAAAAGATGACATATATCCACTAAAAGCTCAACAAGGTTCATCCTAAAGTGGAGAAGACCATCAGGCAGCTCAGGTGTTCCTTGTTCATCATCAAACATAGAACCATCTACCTGTCAAAGTCAACGACAAAGATTCACTTTTTATATATCTATCATTATAGAAGTATTCTAATTACCAGAAACAATGAAAATGAAAGTATAGACCAGAGAGATCAAAATACAGAGTAGCTAACTCCTATTTCATCATGTCATCAAGAACAGCATCTGCAGCATATAAATATATCATATGTACATATGTGTGAGTAATGAAGATCATTGTCTAGTTTGTATAATCTCTTTCTTCATGGTAATCCTTACTAGCTCTGTTCCAACCAGGCTTTAACAGTTAAAACCTAAAAAGCATACACCTTCCCTCTAGGCTCTAACTAATACCTCACTAAAAATAAAATAACTAAATCTACCTTTAGGGGTTTAGACATGATAATAGCCAATGAGAAGTAGCAAGCCCATAACAACCTATCCCCTACCTATTACGTCTGATAATGGTCATTCTAAAACTCTTAATCATCTTTAGGGACGACCAGTTAGTAACTGCAAGCACAGCATAGAAGATCAATAGCCTCCATCAGCTTGGAATGACCAATAAAACATAAGCGCCAAATCTTGGCATTGCCTATTCCCTCCTCTCGAACAAAACATGGACATGCTTGATGTGGATTTGAACAAAAGGCTTTAGCATCAGTAGTGTGTTTTTAAGTGCTTGAAGCTAGAACTGGATCAGACACAGAGGGTGGTAATACTGTACAGTCTAAAAATTTAACCTTCACACAACATACTGATAAAAAGCAACATGATTTACTCAGCTTAGAAAGGCATCATGCCACAATCCGTATATAAAAAGGCAGACAAGCAAAATAGAGACCTGAGCACGCAACAACAGCGCATCAAGTAATGCTGAAAATACAGGGAAAAACATGTCTTCCACTTGCTTCCTCTGTTTTGCACCATCCTCATCAAGGCCAAGAATATAGCTTGCAAAACCAGACCTAAGAATATGAAAAACTCGCAATGATGATCATTGAAATTTAATAGAGAACGCCAAAAGCCTGAAAAATCAGCAGATGCTAACATTTCTCACCATAACAGGAAGATCATAGCAAGTAAAATTTAGCAACTCATTTTCCACTGTCCGTGCATTATACCACCTAGTCTAGTCTCACAAGTTAAAAACGATCTATCTCTTATCTCTAATAAAAGATAAACATTAACGTTTTTTGTTGGTGGATACAACACTTACCTAGAACAGGTTGTGAATGGAGTCTAACCTAAATAAGGAGAAATTCATAGAATCACTAAGGACCAATAAACATGGTACTCCATAATTCTTCAATCATCTTTAGGTTTTCTTTGGTCCCAGAATTGGAAACAGATTGTTCACAATTGCAACCATCCTTTCAGACTAAGTTAAATACAGACAAACAACAATTCACCTTCAAATTGATAAATAAATTTAAGTACCAAAATTGCACGGTTGAGTCTGCTATCTCCCAGTCTTCACTTGGAAACGTCACGCAGCTGCCAGCATTTTTAAAGGGTAAGATACAAAATTTGACACATGAAAAAGAATCCGATACCAGGCCATATCAAAGAAGACTTCAGGCAACCGAACTGTAATGAATTTTCTTTAGCATGCATGAGATAATTCTCCATATCTATTGTGATCATTTGAATCAAAAATAACAATTTGGCCTTTCCTGGCCTGATCCTAACGCGTTGCTATTCAGTGTTGACTCATTAACATAAGATGGTATTCAATTTTAGTGCGGAAGGTGTCATGTTTGAACATTTAACCACTCTAAGTTTCTACTAACTTAGTTACTAACTACCAATAATACCCGGGCCCAATCACATTGTTGCAAGCACGTCTGGACCTTTTTATCATCCTTAGCACTATAAAAGATGGGTGACCTTACAACAAGAAAGAAAATAGAACAAAAACAATACCTTTTCAACTAATTCTTGTGTCTTTACCGATATATTTGTTGAAAAACCCGCACACTAGACCTTGTTCTTTAATGTAACCAACGGCAATAGACTAAACTAGCAAATATTAGAAAACTTAGAAACACACTGGTTCGGCAGAACTTATGCCTACGTCCAGTTGTGATTTCTCTAGGTAGAGAAATCACCGCTCCTTTGATTAATAATAGAGATTACAGAACTTTTGCAAACCCTATAACTAATCTCAAAACTCTTGGCTGTCTGGCTGTTTTCTTTTTTCTCTTAAAAAATCAGCCTTGCCACACCCTATTTATAGACATAGGGTTGGCTTACATGTCCCAAAGCTGATTTCATTCCTATATCTAAGTGGATTAGGAAATTACACTTATCCAAATCCAAATAGACTTCTAGAAATCCAAACCTAAATTGAATAAGGAAACTGAAATTCTTTCCTAATCCCTCTAGGACAAGAATCGGTATGCCTCTAGGTTTCCTAAAACAATCCTAAACTAACTAGGACATATTTGACGAGCCAAAATCCTAACAATCTCCACCTTGGTGAGTCAAACCAAGTCTTGATCGTTGCACCCCAGAGTATCTTTGAACCTTCTTGAAGCAGCTCTGGAAATCTTCAAGAGTCTTCACCTTGGCAATCTTCTTCTTGCCTCATTGCACCTCAAGTGAGGAGGTGCTCCACTTTAATCAATCAACGAGATTGATCAAGTTCAAGCAATGCTTGAACTTCTTGGCCGGCACTATCTTTGTAAGGAAATCTGCAGCATTGTCATCCGTATGAACCTTTTCAATCCAAATTTCCTTAGATTCCACCCAATCTCTAATTCTGTGATACCTTGCTTCAATGTGCTTTGATCTTCCAGAAAAAACCTGATTCTTTGCCAAGTGAATGGCACTTTGACTATCACACTTCAGCTTCACACAATCTTGAGTGATTCCCATTTGACTTACCAAGCCACTAAGCCAAATCGCTTCCTTTCCAGCTTCGGCCAATGCAATATACTCTGCCTCTGTGGTCAACAAAGCTGTAATTGGTTGCAGTAGTGCCCTCCAACTGATTGGTCCTCCTGCACATGTAAACACATAACCAGAAGTTGACCTTCTCTTGTCCAAGTCCCCTGCATAATCGGCATCCACATATCCTAACACCCCTGCACTTTCCTTTTGCCTCTCAAACATAATCCTTTGTCGCCAAGAACCCTTCAAATAACGCAAAATCCATTTTGCTGCATCCTAATGTTGCTTTCCTGGATTTGCCATGTATCTGGAAACGACACTGATTGCTTGAGCTATATCGAGACGTGTGCATACCATTGCATACATGAGGAGCCCACTGCATTAGCATAAGGCACATTCTTCATTACTTGTTGCTCTTCCTCGGACGTAGGACACTGTTGCCCACTTAACCTGAAGTGAGCCGCCAAAGGAGTCGAAACTACCCTTGCTTCTTGCATGTTGAACTTCTCAAGAACCTTCTGAATATACTTGGCTTTGATATCCAGATCCTTCCAGCGGTCCTATCTCTCTGAATTTCCATGCCAAGAATCTTCTGTGCAGCACCTAGATCCTTCATGTCAAACTCCTCGCTCAACATCTTCTTCAAGTCTTGAATTCTAGACTTGTCTTGACAAGCAATTAGCATGTCATCCACATATAGCAATAGCAATATGATCATCCCATCTTGGAACACATGATAGTACACACAACAGTCATATAAACATCTTCTAAAATTGATTTTCAGCATGAATGAATCAAACCTCTTGTACCACTGTCTTGGAGACTGTTTTAGGCCATACAAGGACTTCCTTAGCTAACATACTAGGTTCTCTTTCCCATATTCAACAAACCCTTCTAGTTGAGCCATGAAAATCGTCTCCTCTAGATCCCCATGAAGAAATGCTGTCTTCACATCCATCTGCTCAATCTCCATGTCATGCTGAGCTGCCAATGCTAAAAGCAATCTGATAGAAGTATGCTTGACTACATGTGAAAAGATCTCATCATAATGCACACCTTCTTTCTGTGAGTACCCCTTAGCCACGAGCCCTGCTTTGAATCTCACGGCATCTTGTTCATGTAGTCCTTCCTTTTTCCTAAATACCCACTTGCATCCAACTAGCTTTCTATCTTTGGGCTTAGGAACCAACTCCTAAACAGAGTTCTTGTAAAGAGACTCCATTTCTTCTGTCATAGCACTTATCCAACTATCTCGCTCATCACTAGCTATAGCTTCTCGATAAGTAGTCGGATCTCCTTGACTAATGTTAAGAGCATAATTAACTTCGTCTTGGTCAAACCCAAATCTGTCAGGCTTCTTCTTGTTCCGATTTAAGTTTGTCTAGTGCTATGCATCTCTGGAATGCAGGTGGATTGTTGGTTGGAGTTCGAACCCTTTGGGATGTCTGGCAGATTGGAGTGCCTTCAATCTGCCCTGTTTCTTGCTCCACCTGATTCCTAATTGGTGAACGATGCTGATGCTCTTCTTCTTCCTCAAAACCATCAGATTCGGCCTCTTGCTCGATTTGCTCCACCTGAGCTTCTTCTTCATCTGAACTGATTAATGGAATCTTTGTTGCTTCAATTTCAGCATCGTCCGTCTTCTTCCTACTACTCTCGACTTTATTAAGAGGCATGGTTGTCTCATCAAAGACAACATCTCGATTGACAACCTTTTTCCTGTTGTTGAAATCCCAAAGCTTGAAACCCTTAACTCCTTTCTCAAAACCTAAGAATATGCAATGTGTAGACTTCGGTTTAAGCTTGGACCTTTCATCACTTGGAATATGTGCATAAGCACTACAGCCGAACACCCTGAGCTTGGAATAGTCCACCGGCTTCTCAGACCATACCTCTTCTGCACTCTTAAAACCGAGAACCGAGAACTGTAGATGGTGACCTGTTAATCAAATAACTTGCATGATTAACAGCTTCTGCCCAAAAACTATCAGGCAATCCTGCATGAAATCGCATGCTCCTCTCTCTCTCCATGAGAGTTCGGTTCATCCTCTCAGCAACTCCATTTTGTTGGGGATTCTTCTTTACTGTGAAGTGCCTTATGATGCCTTCTTGCTTGCAGTAATCGGTGAACTCATTACTTGTATATTCACCTCCATTGTCACTTCTCAGGTACTTGATCTTTCTTCCAATTTGATTCTCGGTTTATGTTTTCCATTCCTTGAACTTTGCAAAAACCTTGGATTTCTGCTTCATGAAATAAACCCAAACCTTCCTAGAAAAATCATCCATGAAAGTAACAAAATACCTAGCTCCACCATTTGATTTAGTTGGTGCAGGGCCCCAAACATCTGAGTGAATATAGTTGAGTTGCTCCTTGCTTCGGTTATCTACACTGCTACTTGCGAATGATACCTTTCTTTGCTTTCCGAGAACATAGTATTCACAAAAATCCAGTTTGCAAGATGACACGCCTTCCAAGAGGCCTTGCTTGCATAATTCTTGCAACCCTTTTTGGCTTATGTGCCCGAGCCTATGATGCCAGAGTTTAGTCTTGTCTTCTACACTCTGATTTATAGAAACAGCTGCTCCCCCGACTATAGTGGTCCCAATTAACTTATACAACTTATTAGGTTGTAGGTCACCCCGCATTACCACTAGCGATCCTTTGGTTAACCTGAGTCTTCCTTTTTTAGACTTGTACTCATAACCAGCCTCATCTAAAGTACCCAAGGAAATCAAATTCTTTCTTAGTCTAGGGACATACCTGACGTTCCCCAAAGCTCGTCCATCGAACATTCTGATTCGAACAGTGCCGATTCCTCTTACAGGACATGAAGAATCGTCCCCCATTAAGACTTCCCCGCTGCTGACTTCTTTGTAAGTATCGAACCATTCCCTTACTGCACACATGAAAAGTGGATCCGGTATCCAAAATCCAATTGGTGAAAGCCTTGGAGCCTGATGTTACTGAAAGAAGCTCCCCGTCACTCTCATGCTCGGTGACTGCACTAGCTGAACCTGAGCTTCCTTCTATCTTGGCTTTCTTCTCTTTCCAAATCTTGCAGTTCCTCTTCCAATGATCGGCTGAACCACATTCGAAGCAACCTTCCTTTTCCTTTTTCTTCTTGGATTTTGACCTACCTCTATTGCCGATTTTCTCTTCCTTTGTCTTTTCCCGCCCCCTCTCCTTGCCTTTGGCATAAAGGCCTTGAGAGCTTTCAGTTATATCATCCAGTTTAGCATATGACTGAAGAGCTTGAATTACGTCTTCAAGCTTCAAGGACTATTTTCCAAACATTAGAGCTGTTCGAAAGTGCTTGAAAGACGAAGGTAGAGACCTCAGCAAGATGATAGCCATATCATCATCTTTGTAAGTTTCTTCGACCTTCTGAAGATTAGCTATGCAATTCTGGAACCTGCATACATGATCTTCAATATCACCTCCTTCTAGTCGAAGCCCGAATAGTTCATCCTTTAGAAAAAGTTTATTGGACACGGTTTTGCCCATATAAACATTCTCCAACTTTTCCCATGCTTCCTGGGCAGTCATCTTTTCGGTGATGTGTGACCGAACTGATCTTGTGAGATGGATCTCGATGGAACTCTTGGCCTTCTTGAGAACCTTAGTCCATGCTGCCTCTGTCATGTTTTCCGGCTTCTTACCATCGAGTGCATCATCCAAATCCTGTGTATCAGTACGTTCTTCATCATCCTTTGCCAGTCCGTGAAGTCATCCTTGACGTCAAAGGGCTTTAACGCAGTTCCTTGATCCGCATTCATCTTCCCTTTTGACATCGTAGAACACCTTGATCCTAGCTCTTGATACCAATTGTTGAAAAACCCGCACACTGGACCTTGTTCTTTAATGTAACCAACGGCAATAGACTAAACTAGCAAATATTAGAAAGCTTAGAAACACACTGGTTCGGCAGAACTTATGCCTACGTCCAGTTGTGATTTCTCTAGGTAGAGAAATCACCGCTCCTTTGATTAATAATAGAGATTACAGAATTTTTGCAAACCCTATAACTAATCTCAAAACTCTTGGCTGTCTGGCTGTTTTCTTTTTTCTCTTAAAAAATCAGCCTTGCCACACCCTATTTATAGACATAGGGTTGGCTTACATGTCCCAAAGCTGATTTAATTCCTATATCTAAGTGGATTAGGAAATTACACTTATCCAAATCCAAATAGACTTCTAGAAATCCAAACCTAAATTGAATAAGGAAACTGAAATTCTTTCCTAATCCCTCTAGGACAAGAATCGGTATACCTCTAGGTTTCCTAAAACAATCCTAAACTAACTAGGACATATTTGACAAGCCAAAATCCTAACAATATTGCCTTGCCTAATGAAACATGAAAAAATGTTAATTAAGTAAATAACCTCAAAAGTGCATCAGCCAGTGCAACTGCCTCAGCACTTGCTTCCACGATAAGAGATGGTGCCTGGAATACAAAACAAATTTAAAAGTTAATGAAAGATAACTTGGAGTATGATTTTCTTATTTTTGAAAAGAAACAATTTTATTGGGAACAGAACAGAGAGTGAAGAGGACGTCCACCCACAACAGTTACAGGAGGGAAATTAACAAAGAGCTATATCAATACTTACAGCCTGGCCAATCTCTGACAATAAGCAAGCAAGACCACCTACTACTTTCTCATCACCGTTACTAAGAGCTGGCAGAAGTAATACTTCTTTAAGAAAATGCACCCTGCATAACAAAACATGGGGCAGCCCCTACAGAAGAAAGAATCTGTTGATAGGATTATTTATTCAACAGCTTGCAGTATAAATGCAGAGAGTGCAAGGTGGTGGGTTTTGCGCTCAAAATTAGGATGATGCAGAAATTAGGTTTGTGTTACCTATTTTGTTTGATGTCCTATTTGGGTTTGGATTTGACTTCTTGGTTAGATTCCTTGATTGGTGGAGAGATTTTGCTAATTACCTATTTGATTAGGATTTGTATTTGTGTTTACTTCCGATTAGGATTAAGATTCTCATTGTAACCTAAGTCCTATGCACTATAAATAGGACCTTAGGGTTAGTTTATTTGTGTGCCTCACCATTAGTTTAGAGGTCGCACTTGGTGCGATGGCAAGTGCCTTCGCCCATAAGCGGTAGGTCTCGGGTTCGAGACTTGGGAGCAGCCTCTTCATAAATGGGGGTAAGGCTAGCCGACATTCACCTCTCCCAGACCCTGCGTAACGCAGGAGCCTTGTGCACTGGGTACGACCTACGACCATTAGTTTAGAGAGTTTTCTCTAATTGGGTTTTGGGTGGAGGTCACAATTTGGAGACATGAGCATGCGGCAAATTCATGAGTCATTCGTTTGGAAATTTGGGGAGAGACAATTTGTGAGTTAGAGAACAATTGGGGAGAGACTACTCCGTTTGTTATGGGTTCTCCACTCGTTTGGTTTAGGGTTTGTTACTTGTGGGATCTGGGTTGTGAGAGTTTAAATACTCTTTTGTAATCTCTGTTTGTTTAGTGAAATCCATCGCCATGCTTTGCCGTGGACGTAGGTTTTATGCTGAACCACGTTCAATCTCTTGTGTACTTATTTTGAGATTGTTCGCTTTTCGCTTTCACCTATGCCATTGATATTTGGTACTCTATTAGAATTCGCTTCCGTTTGCGCATAAAAGTACAACACAAGGCATATGAACAGAAACACATACAAATAGGATCAAACAATTGATGGCATCACATCGTCCAGATATTAAGCAAACATAATATATGCAAGAATGATTAATTAAAGTAATAGCATAAATGATTAATTAAAGTAATAGCATACCTCATGTCGACTCACAAGCTCAACAAGAACTTCAATTGCCAAATCAAATGAAGATGACATCTATGCCAACAACGCAGAAATAGATCAATTATGCAACTTAAACATATTTTAAGTATTAAATTTGGGTAAATAGAGTTATACAAATTACCTGCAAAGAATTAAAAACAAAGTTGAGGAGTGGATGCGCTGGTAGTAACCCATGGGGAATCTCCGAAAAACATCCAGCTCGAACCTGAACATAATAACAATTCTACTGTAAAAAGAAAACCAGAAATGCCTACCCTTTAATAAATAAAAGTTCAAACTTCTGCAAAGAAATTTATGTCACGGTATAAGGTGAGAGTACCACAACTGTATTCAGAGCTTCAACCAGAAACACAACTTGGACATCAACATTTGGTTATTTGATGGCAGCAAAACATGCAAATATTTTTTTATTGCATTGGACATTAGAACAATTGAATGATTATCATACCCAACTTAATAAGCAACGCAGAATCTTTCTGTTCCGTTCAGGTAGTTGTACACCACTATCAAACCCTTTCTCAGATTGCTGCAGTAGGAACTCAAGAACCATAGGTGTATGCGAAAGAAGCTGCATAGGCGAGAAGTGATACAACAGAAAGATAAATACAAAGAGAGCGAATAAAAGAGGAGAAGATGCGTGTGATGGAGAAATATAGGAGCATTGAAATGGAAAGAAATTTCATAAACCTCTTGGCCATACTGGCTTCTGTCAGCTGAACTTATTTTAGAGTCAGCATTTTGGTTGTCTAAAATTTCCTCTGGTAAAACAGTAAGCATCTCCAGCACAGCAACATTTCCATCAACCTGAGTCTGTAGATTCTGAAGACTATAAAATAGTTGCTCAACAGGTTTTCCATGCTCAACAGCTCGCAGTATAAGTGCAGACAGTGCAAGGCAAATTTGTGTCAAAAGCTGATACAAACAAACAAGGACCTTCATTAAATGTAGCAATAAGATAAAGGGGCAATAAGATAATATCTTTTGTTCCAGCCATGAAAAACATAGCCTGCTCTAGCAACAATTTAAGGTGATAAAGCAGTAAAAGACATAACTTTATCAAAATGGTCAAATGTTATAGCCTTCATATAGCAACCAACTAAAGCATCAGAAGGTTTTCTAGAGATGGGTAGTAAAAGAACCTGATGAGGGCCAGAACTAAATCTTTTAGCAGCAACAAGAAGGGCATTTAGCAAAGCATCTTTGGCTCTAGATTGCAGGTAACAGCCCTCGTTTTGGATCTGGAATGTAAAATGACGATAAGCAATATGTTATATCTTTAGAAAACTAGGCACGCAAGAAACCAAATATATGATTTACACACAAATATCTAGGTTTCACGCAGCTATCAAAAGCCCTGGCAAAGAAAGAGTGGCTTCAGCGGGTAGACAGAGCCTACACATACTGACATCTAACTAGCAAACAGTGTTCTTCTCATAGAAACTTCACTAGGAACACTTTGTGTAGCCATACAATACAACTGATATGCCAACGTTAGCAAGCAGTACAATGTTACATTCTAATTGATCATCATTGAAACGATTTTCCAAGTAAGGAGGCAGTCATCATTTTCCATTACAAGTTTCACACTTTGTGCCTCAGATCACATAACAATGTATTTCCATTAATTCCAGAAATATGCTATTTCCTGATTGCCTCTACAGAAAAATATACAAGATGAAAATAAACAAATTTAACGTTTAACAGTTGATTTGGCCATGAACTAAACACACAAAAAGTTGATTAGTCAGTCCAGTATTTACAACAGCCCAATGCACCAATCACCAGTCAATCAGTAAGCAAATGAAATGATAAACTGTTGTAAAGCAAAGCAAGTAAATAAGAATCATGATTGTATTTGTATGACGGCTACCTTCCGTTTGAGAATCTGGGCAGCGAAGAACTCGACCTCGTAATCAGAGACGACGGAGTGGTGAAAATCGGTGGTGAGTATTGAGGTGGCGACCTCCCAAGCGGCGTCGGTCTGCTGAAATTGAACCAGCCATTGATTTGCCGCCACGCGGTTGCACGACTCTGTATCGTGATTTAGTACGTGAACCGCCTGCGCCACCTTCATTTGCAATTCCATTTTCCCTCCTCTTTTAATCCTAACCTAATTACTCACTAATCCTCCAATAATAATAATAATAATAACTCTAAGATACGAACGTATGGCACTGAATCATCGAAATCGCATCACCAGCGAACGACGCCTGTAACTCATTCGGTCATTTACCCCGCTTCAGATTTCTTCCAACCATTCCGCTTCCATCTGACGGCTGCTAACAACCCATTTGCCCTCACTTGGCGCTGTGGCTTCTCTCCTACCGTGACAGGCAACAGAATTGGGCCCCGGCCCAAACACCAAATCCAAAATACCAAATCAGTTTTTTTTTTTTGCCGGGTCAATAAATACCAAATCAGTCTACTCAACCCTCCACGAATGAATATGATATATATATATTATTCAAATTTTAGTAGAATGATATAGAGTGATAGGGGTGAGTTAAATTATAATAATATTATGAGTACTTCTTACTTTGTTATCCACAAGTATCGTGATATTCAAATTTTCATAAATCAATTTTTTTGGATCTCGGTTTCATACCTAAACTTTAATTTTTGTGACATTTTCATACTTCGGTTAACATTTCCGTCAAATACACCATTGATTAATGACCTGGCATACCTTTGGCCCACTAAGTTTGCCACATGGCCGAATTGGGTTGGACCCCCCCCGGGGGCGTTTGCGACAACCTGCACCCCCTCTTCCCCCCCTTTTCTCTTCCTCTCCAGCCTTCTTCATCTCGACAAAGCCTCGTTCATGGAAAGTGACCCATTCGGGAATGAAATCTAAGTTCTCTCAGCAGCTTGACCTTTGGATGTTAGGAGTTTAAACAAATAGACCATTTAGGTCCAGCTAATGAAACAAACAGTGTGAGGAGAGATTCTCTCATGCAATGGTGTCACCATCAAATAAACGCTTGCAACACATTTGAAGAGTGCACTATGCATCTAAATTAGTGGTATGCGTGAATCTCTTATAAGGTGAGTAATGATTTTTCTTTGTTTTTGTCCGCTTGGCCATTATTTAGAATTCATGCTAAAAACTATACTACACCGTACACAGAATAGAATCCAAATTTGCTCACCACCTTAACTAGGTGGTGACTGTTGCCACCATCTTAGAAAATTGACATGCGTCACATGTGTAATCAATAATTCAAATAGTTCCTGTCAGTCATTGTCATTCAATATAACATTCTCCATCCAGCGGCACCTTTATCCCTCCTTTCCTCCATATACTGTCATACGTATCTGGGACAAAAGATGAAAGCTCAAAACCAGACCGAATAGGTTACAAAATAGATCCATAATGTGTTCAGTTGTGCACGTAGCTGCGGAGAATCTGAATCATTTGGATAAAAAGGAAGCAAAATGACACATGCAACAAAGGTCTTGAAGTATTTTAAGGTTTAATCTTGTGCAATTGATAACTTTTGGGAAATGAAGCGGCCAATAATAAAACCTCCGCACTTGCTAGACATCTGCGAGAGCAATTAGTTGATCGACCACATTTGGTTCCGCAAGGGTGCTGGTGTCTCCAAGCTCATCTAACTGTCTAGAAGCAATCTTCCTCAGAATCCTCCTCATGATCTTCCCACTCCTTGTTTTTGGAAGGCCAGGGGCCCAGTGGATTTTGTCCGGTGCTGCAAATGGTCCTATCTGAAAAATGTTTACATTCCAAATTTAATAATTGTAACCGGAAACCATCAGATCTGAAATATGACTCCTGGATTGTGAACAGCACAGGACTAGAGTGCCGTTGCACTTGCACTGCAATTACAAGATGCAATAAAAAAACAAAGCATATATACCTGAACAGCAAGGACTAGATATATACCTGCTTTCTCACAGCCAGTATAAGGCTTTTCCGGAGTTCCTCACTGTAAGGTACACCTTCCACAAGAGTAACAAAGGCATATATACCTTGTCCTTTAACCTATAGAAAGAAAGTAATTTTGTTCAGACATACTAGCCAGAAGCATCTACCCCTCCCTCCCGCTCTCCCACCCTCTCTTAAATATGTCATGCACAATTGATAAAACAATGCAAAGTATATGGAGACAAATTATCAGATTTTCAATGCAGATTATAGAAAGACAGGAGTTTATTCTTCTCTAATGGGCTAAGTTTATTCTTCTCAAATGGGATATGATATTTTATGGGCTTATTTTTTGTTATACCCCATGGAACTCAAACTCAATCTCCCTTCCCCCCTGAAGCAAAAAATATCTCCACTTGGCACCTTGAAACACGACTTTTTTTTGCTCCACTTTAGCAGTATTCAGTCTATTCTGTCAAATAGGTGTTATGCGGCATGGTGGGACCCAATAAATTGCTTATGTGGCAGCCACATCAAGGTATAATGTCCCGCCCTGCAACGCACTTGAGAACCCATAGCAGCGAAGGAATCTGTCATAGAGGAAGAGAAAATAAACGGAGGAGAGAGAGAAGAGGAGGGGGAGGGAGGGCCATAGCAGCAAAGATATCCGCTGATCTCCAAGCTCTGGGAAACTGCAAATTACCCAAGCCTTTAACCATTCCAAATCCTCGTTTAATTTCTAATTATTTAATTAATTTCCTCATTTATCGTAGCTCAAATCCAAAGAAATCATGATAAATTCAATCAATTGACTCCTAATTTGATTGTGTTGTATTTGTATGGGATTGAAGCCCAACCCAATTTGAGTTCAACAACATAATGTTCTGGTTGTGCCGTTCTTCATCATACTTTGCTGCTCTCCTTCAGTCATGATTTTATGGAAATTTTTCTTGCTAATCTTGTACAACCACTCTCCTACCCAACATCCAGACAGCCCAACCCAATTCCCAGCTGGAATTTCATCGCCAAACTATAAAACGGTGACTTAAAGTGAGAGAACGAGAAAGAGGGAAGGATCAGTCGAGGTGAGAGACGGTGGTGATAAGGACGTGGAAAATGAAACTACATGGCAACTTTTAATCGGCTGTTTTGACAGCTTTGTGCTCCAACAGTGCCAACTAGGACAAAATTACTGTATTGACCTTATATGTCAGCAAACTTTAACACTTATTTGACAGAATAGATGGAATACCACCAAAGTAGAGCAAAAGTCGAGTTTCGTAAAGTGGCAATACTAATCTATAAACTCAGTAACTGTGTCACATTCACATACCTCATGCTCAACGCCAACCACAGCAGCTTCAGCACACTGGGGATGTGAGACCAGAGCAGATTCCACTTCTGCTGTACCAATACGATGTCCACTGCACATATTATAATTTTATCATTGAACAAAGGGAATAAACAACAATCACAGAGTCGATGTCCACTGCACATATTATGATTTTATCATTGAACAAAGGGAATAAACAACAATCACAGAGTCGTCCACATTACATCCTAAGAAATCCACACGTTAATTATCCTATCACTACATTTAGCTCACTCATACAAAAATTAAGATCGAAAAATTATATGCACATAGTTTATGGAATCCCAAAATACCTAACGTTGATAACATCATCAACCCTTCCTGTAAGCCAGTGATATCCATCCTTGTCCCTGAGACATTGATGTGTAACGCTTAGTTTATAATACATTAGAATAAGTGCTAATGAATCAATTATAAACTCTAAACTAAATAAAGGAATCAAATCTTGTCCTGGAAGCAAAAACCTCCGTGCATAACACATGTTAGTACTCACGCTGATGTAACTGCAATTTGATGTTATTATTTACCTGCTGCATCCATCACCACTAAAATAATACCCAGGGAAAGGTTTAAAGTAAGTGGTTTCGTATCTTTCATGATCACCGTACAGAGTTCGGAAGGCTCCAGGCCATGAGCTTTTTACACACAGATAACCACTGCATTCCCCTTCAATCTCAACACCCTTTTCATCAACTATGACAGCCTGCAGTTACAAGCAAAATAATTACCAAGATATAGATCTTACAGATTCAAAAGTATAAAAAGAGGACACTTAATGAGATCCATAAACTAGATTAGAATAAAATACCTGAACCCCAAAGAAAGGGAAAGTAGCAGAACCAGGCTTCTGTGGCCAGGCACCCGGTAATGGAGTTATCTGTCAGGTAAAGAAGGTCAAGCATTTCAAGTTAAAACGTCTCGCTGGTGGAAAGGTGAATGCACATGCATATTGGCACATAAGTGTGGTGAGGGGAGTGTTTAACAAAAGTAAAATCTTGAGGAATTTTCCCGGAATTTTCCCGTGCCAATAACATTTCTGCTTAACACCAGTCAATGGCGAACGGGTTAAAAACTATATAAGAACAGTACTACAATACCATGAAGCCACCAGTTTCAGTTTGCCACCAAGTGTCAGAAATAGGACATTTTGAATCTCCAACCACATTGAAAAACCACCTGTACCAAACAGCATTGGGTTAATAACTCTTTTTGGGTGTGAAGTGAAGCTTTTGAATCAGACAACAAATGAGATGACAACCTCCATGCACTTGGATTAATAGGCTCGCCTACACTTCCAAGGACCCGTAAGGATTTTCGCGAGTATCGTGTAACATACTGCATAATACATAAATAAATAAAATTCAATGAGCACACACATCCATAAATATTTAAGGCATTATGTAAGGGGTACTTGAATCTTAGCCTCATCCAGACAACAAGACCACCATGGATGCAGAAACAGAACGCTATGTAGAATGGAAAGTCTTGCAATGCTTGCAATGCAGATAGTAAATGATGGAGATTATAAAGAGGACTGATTTCTTGATCAGTAACTTAATAAGATACATCAAGAGGCGGGACACCCATGAAAACCAGATGTGTAACAGGGGAGCATCTTTGACAGAACAAAAGAACAAAATTTAAACAAGGACAAATGACAAGAGGATCTTATGGCTAAAAAACACAGACAAGCTTTATACTTCAAGAAAATCATGTTCAGTTAATGAAAAAAAATCCATTAGATTGAAGAAAAAAATTGTTTGGGAAATGATTAACCTAGAAAAAAGAAAATAGAGAAATGATTTTTTTTGGACTACATAGCTGGGAACAGCCATCACCAACTTATAAAATCATAATCATCCGGATCAATAACAAATACATCAAAATAATCACATCCATATATGATGAACGAATGGCTAAAATATCTTACCTCATCACTATCACGCATGAGGGACCGCACCAATGTAGGGGCAGTATAAAATATGCTCACTTTGTATTTATCAACAACATCCCAACAGCGTCCAGGGTCAGGATAATTTGGAGCCTGCAACATATACATGGATTGTAACTGCTAAATGAAATGTCAACATAGGAAATCCAATTAGAAAAAATTAGAGCAAGCATATGCACCAAAAATTACACCATAATCAATCTTACTCCAGCACTCTTTACACATGAGATCCTCTGGCATTATGCACATATTCAGATACAGCTAGTCAGTGTCCTAAATGTAATTATGTATTTAGCACTAGAAGAGTTCATTTCATTTATAGTATAATGTACAAAGAAATTAAAATTTTATATAGATCATAGACAGTGATACGTAATTCTTCTCACCAGAAGTAAACATGTACAAATTTTAATTAAATGTCATATTCATAACTAGTCAACTACTGTTTGTTATTTTGCTTTCTTGAGGAAATAAAGACCCTGAGTAAAGCGGGAGCCTTGTGCACTGGGTACGACCTTTTTTTGAGGAAATAAAGACACCTTTTATTAAGTTATTCTCAGTCCAATGGTTAGTCTGCAGCCAAGGGCTTACCCTTGTTACCATAAGAACCTATCCACCCTTTAAACAATACCATATGTCCAACTAGAGACCTTCCGCTTAAGGGGATAGTACTATACTGACAAAAAAAAAAAGTTAAAAAGAAAAAAAGAATCTTTAGACTAGCTGTCCAGCTTCTTCTTGGTATACTCTTTTTCTTCTTTCCCAAAAACTTCCAAGTGCCAGAGTAGAGATGTCGGCTGATCTATATGTACACAGATGAATGTTTTTTTCTTTGGACATATATATTAGGTTACTCTCATACATGTAAACGATAATATGTATACAAAATCTATCTATTAGTTACCCCTTCATATAAAACAGCAGTCGCTCCATTTAGCAGGGGTCCATAAGTGACATAGCTGTGCCCAGTGATCCAACCACAGTCAGCTGTACACCTAAATAAAGATAAAGCCATGTTCAGTCACGAAAAAACATCAGAACAAAGCAAGGTTCTTTCACATAAAAAAAATCAAAATAACAAAAATGATAAGCTTAGGGTTTTGAAGGATACCAGTAGATGTCAGATGACTTGTAATCAAATGCATATTTAAAAGTTGTTGCAGCGTACACCATATATCCTCCAGTTGTGTGGAGAACTCCCTATAAGAGCTTATTATTAGAAGAATCCAAAAGGAAAAGGAGAAAACAATTAATTGAAGCATGGAACATAAATTACCTTCGGTTTACCAGTGCTCCCACTGGTATAGAGCAGAAAAAGTGGATCTTCCGCATCAACCCACTCCACTGCACAAGTAGTTGGATATTTAGGTATGACATCCTGGAGATAATCATGAGTCATCAGTCACAACCGTCCGTAAGACAAACATTCAGGCCAATTATAAGCATATGATGAAACAATAATATAGGAAGAGCACACAATGCAGCATGCATGTTACAAATGAAAGAATCCTTTATGCATGTAACAAATAAAAGAATCCTTTCTTTCATGGAAGTCTATATAAAGAGGTGCTAGTACAAGTGCTAACCTGCCAGCATACATCCCTTCCTTCCAGCCATTTAGTACTTTCCCTCTTCATAGCCGATTGATTTTCGTAAGTTAAGCATATATCTGGTCAAACAGGGCATCAGATGTCATGATACAAAGAACTTTTACATAAAAAGTGTGCATTGCCTCGCCACGACACACGCATATAGGTTATTAAAAAGAAGCAGTTTATATAAATCACATATCAATTTGCTAATTTCCATACCTACAGAAACCCCGCTTTCGGATGATTTTATAAGGGCAGCATCAACTATATCTTTGAGGTGGATAACCTTAGAACCTCTTTTAACAGCATTGCAAGTGATTACGACTTTCGGTTTGCAATCTACAATCCTTTGAGCAAGAGATTCTGCAGAAAATCCGGCAAAGACAACCTGAAAGAGTGGAAAAGTCAATTAATTATGAAAAAAGAAAGCATTGGGGATGCAAGAAAGCATTGGGGATGCTGGAAAGCAAAGAGAAAGATGGTGCAACACCGAGTGAACGGCACCAATTCGAGCACAGGCAAGCATTGTGATTGGAAGTTCCATTAACATGGGCAGGTAAACCACAACAGCATCACCCTTTTTAACTCCAACATCTTTCAAATAGTTTGCAAGCTGCAAATGAATGGTACAGGTAAGAAAAGGTGAAATATTTATTGATTAGTTTTATGAAGCAACTCGGAGTCCCAGGCAGATTGATAGACGGACCGACCTGGCAAACGTTGTGGAGAAGCTGGGTGTAAGTTAAAGTGGCATCAACACCAAGATCATTGCCTTCCCAGTAGAAGGCAATTTTGTCGCCAAGTCCAGCTTCAACATTTGTGTCAAGGCAGTTGTAGCAGATATTGGTGAGACCGCCCTTGACCACTGCTCGACTCAAATTAGAATTTTCTGAACTCAAAAAAATACAAGGCAAGCAAATAAAATCAAAGAATCAAAAGAAAGACCTCAATCCGGATATCGCCTTTCCTGATATCGAGATTCTCCGAGTAGACTGGTTTGCCCCATTTCTGTTTCCAAAAGAAGGTGGAAGCGATGTCGGACCAAAATCCGGCGGGGTCCTCGATGGACCGTTTATACATCTCCAGATACTGAGGGGGAGGAGGAGGAGGAGGGTAACAAGAAATTAGAGTATGTTGTTGGAACTTGGAAGCGGAAGTGCAAAGCGCAGAGAACTGAGAGAAGAAACTACCGTACCTGTTGGGGAGAGGAGACGTGAGCCTGACGGGAGAAGTGGTCGCTGGGAAAGACGAGATCGTTCTCTTCAGAGGCGAGTGATTCTCCGAGAATGATGGCGTTCAGGTGGGAAATGTTTCCGGCGCCAGAAGGCATTGTGGCCATCGACTCCACATGCCGCAGGTGATCGCTTGTTGTAATCAAATTTGGATTATTACGAGGCTTCTTGTTGTTATTAGCAGCATGATCAGGCGATGATGATTCCATGTCCCAACCGCAAGATTTAAATTTGGGCGACGCCCACAAACAGCTCCTCCTTGTTCTTCCTCTTGGTATAAGAAGGCGACACAACGAATTGGAATTGGAATCTGGAATTGACTTTCTTCTTTCGTGGAGAGCGGAAACGGAATGTTTGGCTAACGGAGGAGTGTGATGATGAATCTGATGACATGCAAAACCCTGACCCGGATAAAGGATAACATTATGAAGATTACTATAACCTAATCCAAATCCTCCTCCTCTTCCTCCTCCCCAGGTACAGGTAGTCACAGTGTTATTAATATTAATATTAATATTATTATTGTAATATAACTGATGATGCTGAAGGGGGACCATCCTGTCTCTCTACTAATAATCTAGCCTAGACCTAGTTTGCTTCCTCTCTTGTCTTGCCTCTGGATTCATTCTTTTACTAGGGATGAATCCATTGAATTCTGACTTTTCTCCCTTTGAATAAATAATTAAAATAATATTAATCGATGGATCATAAACAAACGTGTCAAAGCTGGCAGGCAAGGAATTGGTACTGGAATTGCCAACTGCCAAATGGAATTGGAATTGGCGTTGGAGTTGGAACTGGAACTGGAACTGGCATTGGGCGGCGGGCGCAGTGATGTAGAGAATAGAATACCCTTTTCTCTCTCCACTCTCCACTCATGGTATGTTCACATAGTACTTGGATTCTCTGCCCTCCCATTTCGATATCCTCTCGTGTCCTACTGTTTTGTGTGGTCACGGTTAATTCATACTAACATTTTATATTATTTTTTATAAAAATAATAAGACAAAAAAAAATAGTAATATAAAATATTGACGTGGCTTAACCGTGACCACACAAACAGAAGGGCACGGGGAGGGCACCGAATTGGGAGGGCAGAGAATCCAAGTCTGTTCACGTGAGGGTAATCGGAATAAAGAAAGGGAATTGAATTCGATTACGGAGTATTTCGGTGTTTACTAAATATTAAGGAATCAAAAAAGTGGTGGAGTCCACACGAAACAAGGAATCCAATTCCTGAAATTGGAGGAAACGGATTCCCTAGTTTTGTGAGGTATTTGAATTCCCTGAGGGCAAGGGAATCGGGAATGCATCTTTTATTCCAATTATGCCCTCACTTGTTTCTTATTATCCCAACATTGCCCTTCATTTGACACTCATTATGTCATTTTTATTAAATAAATAAAATCTATTTATATATTTTTATATAGATAATTGTATTATATAAATTTAATTTAATTAATTAGTATGAAAATAATTTATTTATGTAAGGGCAATTTAGTCATCAATTTAGTTTTCATTCCGATTGAAGTGAATTAGTAAACAACTTATATGGACTCAACATCATTCTTACCATCTTTTAATAAATAAATAAACCTATTTATACATGCTTATATAGATGAATTTTATTATATAAATTTAATTAAGAATTTAATTTAATTAATTAGTATGAAAATAATTTATTTATGTAAGGGCAATATAGTAATCAACCTAGTTTTCATTCCGATTGAAATGAATTAGTAAACAACTTATATGGACTCAACATCATTCCTACTCCGATTCCTAATAGTTTTAGTAAACAACTTCAACAGGAATCAGATTCTGATTCCACCTCATTTCAATTCCTCCTTAATCCAATCCTCCCTCAATCTAATTCCTCTCAATTTGATTACGGATTAGTAAACGCGCCATTAATATTTTGTCTTTGCAAGAGCTTTTCCATTCCATTGTCAATCACTAGGGCTCGGTTCGATTGACAAATTTTTCGTGCAACTTACCAGCCATATATATATAATTATTGAAAATCAGTTACCGCTAGTTAACCGTTTTCTTCTAGTTGCCAAAAATTAGTTCAGCCAACATTATTGGCTGGTTCAATTGGTAAATGGCATAACCGGTGGTTTCCACTTCTTCCTCGCTATCTTCCATTTCCAAGGGCTCAATTTGATTGTCATATTGGGGTGCTTGCATTGTGCGGTTCATTGTTGGTTAATCCATGTTGTGCACTAGCGGTTGATTGGCTAGACTCCATCATCCTAAACATAAGCAACGCATATACATTCAAAATCATATATATGTACGTGTATATATAGTATCAATAATCATCCAGCTATCAATTTTGTTAACAATATTTTATATATTTATCATGGCATGAATCATATGCATATACATATATTTTTTAAACCCTAAAACTAAAGAGTCATTTATTTTCTAAACCCTAAAACTGAGGAGTCAAGCATGTAAAAAAAATACCTAAAATATTTAAATAGAAATATATATATATATATATATATATTAGTAGGTATAGCATACCGCCGCCATACAAAATCAATTACCAAAGCCATGTCATTAATTGTCGGTTTGGTAAAATGCCAACCGATTATGAAAAAATGCCAAAATTATATCATACCATTATGAGTCAATCGGTATGATTCGGTCGATAAATCGGTTTATGGCAAAATTTCCCACCCCTATCGATCACTATGTGCACAAGTTTTTCTAACACATGAGTTGTTTTAGTGGATTCTGACTCTATCTCGATTATCTATACTTAATTTAGTACATTTGTTTTTAAAAAACGCTATATGTGTAACATCTAAGTAATATTTTGATATTAATTTCTAATGATATTTGATGTATAAATAGATATTTTTGTGTATTTAGCGAACTTTTTTATATATATCAATGTACAAAGAGTTATGGGTTAGAGAACTTTAGGGCCTCACCTTGAAGGCTTGCCTAGGGCCCTCAAATTCTTTGGACCGGCCATATCGTTGAACATGTTTCATATAAGTCGCTCGCATCCTTACATCACCAACTCAAAAGAAGGATGAGATTTTCTAGAGTGTCCAGACTTTCTAACTTTAGATATTTTACGAAATACAACAACTAAGATTTAACAGTTACAAGAGTCCGAATTGTTAAGAATGAATCTCATATTAGTGGAAAGGAAGACCTTGAATGGACTTATAAGTACGTTAGGCATTTTCCATATTGCCAATTGATTTTACAGTAAAACTGCAACTTTCTTCATGCTATCATAGCAGGTTGTTCCACTTATTAGGCTTGAAAATTTCTCACACGTGAGAAGACGTGTTGAGAATGAATCTCATATTTATGGGAGAAGGGACATTGCATTCATTTTTACTTCTCACACTCTTAATTAATTTCTGTCATTTGATTTTCTTTGATTTAGTCGATCTGACGGTTATAAATTAAGAGGGTGTGTAGGAAGTAAAATGGGATGTATGGATAACATACCCCTATAAATACGTTGGGCTACTTCCTACATTTCCAAATAATTTTACGGTGGAGTCTTAATTTTCTCACAAACCACCATAAAAGTATAGTAAATGGATTGATGGCTTTTTTTTTGGGGGGGGGGAATATTTTTTACATTTTCTATCGTTATGATATTATCAATGAATTTATGATTCTTCAATAGTACTTAGCATTGAGTGAAACAAAACTTGAATCGCTGAGATTGAAAATAAAAAATTAATTGCAAAAATTATATCTAAGATTAAAACAACCATAATACTGAGTGTCATATTTGCATTGAAGCCACGACCCAATGTATTATTCAACGCATAAAATAATAAACAACAAAAAATATCATACACTAAACATTTTAGTAAGCTTTGGCTAGCTTTGACCAGAATAATAGGAAGAGAACTTTGGATCTGGTGCCAAGTTGACCAAAATCTTATATTAAAGCCTTATTAATTTGAATTTGATTGAAGGATAAAATGTTAAATTTCAGTATTAATTAATAAATTTAATAACAAAAATTAATAATTTCTCCCTAAAAGTATGTAAAGGTTAATAGCAGACATGAATTTTTTTATTTTTTTTCCTCAAATTTTTTTTACAATCGATATTTTTACATTAAAAAAAATGGGAGTTTAGCTAAGCCACACAATGGGCAGCCTAATTTGGTATCAAATTCGCCATCCACGAGATTCGAACTTAAGACCTTTCACTTTCAAGTGAAAAGGAATACCACCAAACTGTAGTATTGAGTGACATTTTTTTTTCTTCAAATTTGAATAGTAGGAAATATGATCTGAAATTTTTATATTTTTTTTGGGTAAAATTAGGGGTCAAAAGACCCAAGAAAAACAACTAACTATTAACAAAACGGGTATGAGGAAACCCAACAGCATCATCAAAGATCAACCTATCCACAAGAGGAGGAGACTCATAAAAAACATGAAGACCAATGTCAAACTTATGGCCTAAATCTGTCATACCATCAGCCATTTTATTCTTCTCACGATAAACATGTGAAACCGAGCAAATCCAATCCCTGTGCAATAACTCTGGGCAAGCAGTAATAAGATGAGCAAGAGGGTGCATAGAGGAATTAAAATCCATTATTAAGGTAACAGCCACATCGGAGTCCAATTCAACAAGCACTTTTCTATAACCCAATCTCCAAGCAAGAGTCAGGCCATGAAAAAAACCCCATAACTCAGCATTAAGCACACTCCCCACACCAATATTTATAGTGAAACCAGCAATCCACACACCTGTAGCAGCATGTAGAATCCCACCAGTACTAGAGCACCCCTTGCCACTCTTCCTACTGCCATCCACATTCAACTTGACATAATTAGGATGACACAACCCAACCAAGATCAAGGCATGCTGGCCGTCACGTGAGAGTGATGTAGCTATGTGCACAGTGCGGAAGCAATAAAGATAAGAATTATACGAATAATTAAAAACCGAATTACTAGAGTGCACTACTAAACAGTGAGTGGTAGGAGTTAGTTACAACAGTAAACACTCATATTCAGAGCATAAAAGTCTAGGTGCAGTCCAGTAGAACAAGTACTAGTTATACAGTACTAAGAATGTCCTACTATTATTTAGATAAGTCAGAATTGCCGACGTCCTCAAGCCACCAACAGCAAGCTTACTTAAAACCTGGAGAGGCGCAAAATAGAAAACGTGAGTGGGCAAAAACAAATGTTTTACAAAATCATTTTCTTTATCAACATATCTAACCCCTCGCTGTAAAACATGTATAATTTTTCCCAGAATCAGAATATAAGCATGTACATAATATATATATATATATGAAATCATATCAATTCAATTCATACTTCACATAATTATATTCAAATATATGTCATGCCAATATATAACAGAGTAAGCAATTCAGGTAAGAATAAATTCATAGAAATATGATATGTTAGCCGGAACCCCTGTGGGAGTCTGTACGGCTGAATTCATAGCTCTAAGTCAATCTAGCCGGAGTCACTACAATGACCTATACGGCAATATACTACACATAAATCGGAACCACTAAAAAGGTATGTACGACAAGATTGGGTGTAATATAGTTATGCTTATTGACCAAAAAAAATATATATATATAGTTATGCTCAATTTTACTTTCTCATAATAGCCGGGCGATAAATCGCTAGTCACCTACGAGTCAGAACCATAATTAAGGTCTGTACGACAAAACTGTGCACTTAAGTTGGATCCAATATAAGCATATAATGCGGGAGGTGACATAATTAAACAGGCATGTACTTCATATCTCTAGCGAAATCACAATCACCCTAGGTGCAGTTTTAAGAGCTCAACATCAATCCATCACATACCACATCATCGATG